TATAATATCCTTTTAATATTAAAGCTTAATATAGAAGAAATTAAAAAAAATTTATTTTAACTTTTAAACTTAATTAAAAAAAAAATTAATATAACAATATATGTATGGCTTGTATGATAGATTATACCGATATGCATCAAATACTATAAAACGTTTATAAATCATGTGATGCCACAATATTTAATTATTACTAGCCGAAGCTTCCAATAATCTATTAATAGCCAGGAACTAGCCAAAGTTATCGTTATGTCCTTTTGCGAATGGCAGGTAACAAGGATGCTTGGTCCGATATTTGCTGTGGATTTGTCATCCTGAAACGATCAACTTGCAATATCAATGTAATTGCGTCAAGTTCTTATGGTAATAATGTTTAATGAAATAATGCTTTGGATGCTTCGGCACTTCATTTCCAATTCTTTTTCTCTGTTCTTCCTTTCCAATAAATATCATGAGTAGCTATTTCAACTGATAATACATACCGTGGAAAAGACTTTTGATAATCATCAACTCCGTAAAGAGTCCATAATTGTCCAAGAGAAAATGAAACTGAATATTTCAGATGCACATTGCATTATTTATATAATGAAAATATTAAAATTGAAATTTAATATTTCATTGGGTCAGCTTTACTCTTGTTTAACATAAATGGATATTTTAAAAGTTGAAGATTTTTTATGATAAATATGTACTTTTCCTTGACTTTCCATTAATCTAATAATTATAACAAATTCTCATTTATAATCGAAGATTATTTAAAGTATTTATAGAAAATCAGATTCATTCGTTAGTGTTCGATATTCATTATGAAAATCAATGTTTAAAGTTTTTTTTTTTGTTTTGTTTTTTTTTTTTAAAATCACGAATAAGTATTTACTCTATTTATCCATTCTATCAATCATAAGTTTTTAAAAAGATATGGTAGACCTTTTTATGTTTACTTATTTGTCCATGCCAATTGTTCCAATACCAATTCAATAGAAATAATTACTTAGTTTGCAATACCAAGTATAATCCCACAATTCTCAAAGACTCAAAGAAAGCAAACGAGAATTATCCGAAGAAGGACTACAACTCCAAACTGATCTAGTACTTACACAAAATTTAATTCATTATCCATTTTCTCTTGATATGTACGTAGTTACGGACAATCTTAATTTCCATATTCATCGAGGACGCGCATCTTGACATCTTTTGCAATTAAACTCACAATTTGCGAACAGTTCATAAATAAATTAAGCGTATTCATTGATATTGCATTGTGGTATGTAATATATTTTAGATACGGATTAATTATTATTAAAGGCACCAATTTATATTATTATAAATAGAACAGTGAATTTTACTTTCATGTAATAATTTTCAATGCATACATAGAGGGGAAAAAAAATTAATTATTTTCCTCGGTTGTAAATTTTCTTAAATTAAATTAAAATCATTGACTATCGAATCTCTTACAATTAAATATATGATTAGTTTTAGATTTTTATAATCTAGAAATATTAACGCGTAATGCATAAAAATATTTTAATGATTGCAATCGATGTTTTATTATACTTTGGATAATTTAAGAGATTAACTAGAAAACTTGAGCAGTTGTATGGAATTTTTGTTGTGAAAATAGTTATAGAAAAACATGGATATATGAAAAAATTATAAAAAAAAAATATATATATATATATATTTATTGCATTTACTTTTAGGGAAAAGCGATTAATATATATTTGGAAATAATTAAAAGAACAACATAGATTAAACAAGCGAAATAAAAAACTGCGAAACATTGATTACAAACTGTAAGATTAAACTGAAAATTTAAGATCTTATGAAGATTAAAAAACATTATAAATTAAAGTTCAACTATAAATTAAAATAAAAGTTGAAATATCGAGTGATAAAAACATTACTTTCCTTAATTAGCTCCTTTCATTAGCAACGTTGACGTAACAAATAATAAAATACTTTTAAAAAGTCATTGCAATCAGAGGTAAAAACTAAGCTTAATTGACGTATTCAATAATCAATACACATATTAATAATAGTGAAGATAAAAGTTGTTTGAAACTTTGAATATCTTAAAATAGATGTTAAGAAATTTAGAATTTATTATTGAATTATCTAATAAATAAAAATTATGAGTTTATTGCTATTACAACTAATGGACATTTTTAAATAATAAGACTTTCATAGCAATTAATATCGATTCTTTATAATCGACTCTTTAAGGTTGATTGAAAATGCATTCGTTGACGATTACATGAGTGAAATTAAATTTTGTATAAAAAAAAAAAAAAAAAAAAACCCATTAAGTATTCCGAAAAATGATTGATCTAATTGAATTTTATTTTTATTTGTATTATATCAAATATCATATTATTGACATTTTTATTACGTTATTATGCTTGTTTCGCAATGTATATTATTTCCGATAGGCTGTACATTAGAATATTAGCAATGCCGATGATATTGTATATTACAATATTTGATTATAAAAAAAAAAAAAAAAAAAAAAAAAAAAAAAAAAAAAAAAAAAAAAAAATACAATAATTTCTTGAAGAAAGTCTAAGAGACCAAAGAATGGACAATATTTTCATACACCAAAAGTAGTTATCTAGAAAAAATAATTAATAATAAATGTATAAATAGCATCATATTAGTTTACTCTTGGTATTGTTGGATAGTTAATATTATCATAGTAAATTATTTCTATATTTAATGATTATAAATAATAAAAAGTATATTACTAAATTATATATAAAATTAGCACATGTGAAATACTTTTTTCTCGTCATTCGTATGTTATTGTGTTTTGGTCTTTTCCTTTACATTACTTAGATGAAAATTAATAGAAATATTAATGAAGTAATGTGTATTTATGCTCGAATTAATCTGATAATGTTTTCACTTTTCACTATTCCGTTCATAAAAGGTAAATAAAATTCAGAAAGTAATAATGAAGGTGCTAATCACAATCGTCGTAGCGAGTATGGTGAATAAGCTTACTATTTCTTTTAATTGAAATATTTAATTGTATTTTATGAATATTCGACTGTACTCGGTAAGATTTCTCGTGCAGCTTTTACGACCGCGGATATATGGCGAACAATAATAATTTGCCTATAATAATTTGCCTTGAACTCCGTTACTCGTGCCGACCAAGATATTATTATTAGTGAAAAAGTCAGCTGCAACCACAGAAAAGTGATATTCATATAATTGAAGGTGAAGGTGTCGAAATTTTGCGCGCTGGAATTAATATCTCAACAACTTGACGAAGAGAAACGAGAAGAAATTTATTATTGTTTCGATGCAGGCGGCAAAACTTATTTACACATACTAAGATTGGCCTTGCGATACAAATTTCTTTTTCATTGTACTAATTCATAAAAGGTTTAATAAATAATTTATTCAACATTGCAAAATCAATTAATACAACAACAGTAATGTAACTATTGGTTTTTTTTTTTTTTTTTTTTTTTTTTTTTTTTTTTTTACTGAAGATCTTTGAAAGAGCTCTATTAATATTTTTAAAGAAAAAATAATATGAAATTACATATGAACGAACGAATGAATAACTAATATTATCAATTTATTTATTTTATTTTCAAGAATTTATTGAATATAATTAGGAAATTTATATTATTAATAATTGGTATACTTTTCATGAAACGTACTCCTAATGAATATTTTGAATTCTTACTTCAATAGTTGTTAGGGTAAAAAATATAATAATCATATTTCATGTCGAAATTTATTATTAATCGATAAATGGAAATAGTTTATTATACAAATATAGCTTACATAATATTTAGTATTTAGTATAACATTATTTTTAATATTACAAATCCTACTGAAACTGCATTTGTTTTTTTCTTCTTTTTTATTTAAGAGCTACTTAATACAGAATATAACTGTTTTTTTTTCTTTTCACATCTAAACATACGTGAAAGTTCATCTTTAGACGATAAAAACATTGTATTAGTAATTATATTTGGTATTGCTATCATCTCATTTGCTTCTGCTTACTAAAATTATTTTTAAGGATCTACATATTTTTTTTTCTACAAAAATATCTAGGACTTTTATTTCTTTCTGATCTTAATAAATATATACTATAGGATGAGCATTTATATATAATAATAACATACAGTTTTATAACTTGAAATTATGAATAGCAATAATATTATTAATTTTTCATTTTCACGAAGCAATAATTAAATTTAGAGAGAGAGAGAGAGAGAGAGAGAGAGAGAGACTTAACTTTATCTTAACTTTTACTTCTTCCGTTTATAAATTCTGCTATAATGAATGAAAAATTTGTCAAAAAATTGAAATCTTAATATCAATTGATTTATTATTAATATTTGTGGACATAAAGGCATAAAACAAAATTGAAATTAAGTTATTGAATGAGAAAAAAAAATGATTAAAATAATATCAAATTATGAATTTCATCAGTTGAACTCTTGCATACCAATTTATTCGCTACTTCCAATGTTTCTATTTTTTTCAATTTTACACACAAGGTGAAATTGTTAGAATTGTCACTCTATCAGTCTCATATACTTAATTTAATTTTATTTTCAAACTACCGTCCCTACATTTTTTTTTTTTATTGCGCAGCAAAAAAGGAGTTAATTGACTATTACAGAGTGAACGTGTACTTGAGCGCGTATGCACTTATAAGGATGTGATCGATTTCGCTAGCCGTATACCTCGCGATATCTTTATAAGTCATATACGAATATATTTATTATATAGTTCATTCATTTATTGGATATAATTATTGTGAAATGCGTGTTTGGAGTTGGAATAGAAGATTATATTTATTATGAGTAGCGGGTGCCATCGTTTTTCTTCATTAGTGCGTGATTATTAGTAATAATAGCGATGATAAGGATGATATTTATGATCGTGATAATAATAATTTCACGACCGCTTTCTAGTTATTTACTGGATTATCATAAGCAATTGTATTGTGAGTTTGTATATTTCGATTTCAGTTGATAATAAATGTAAATGGCATCGATACGGATAATAATTGCCAAAAAATTATATCCAATTCACCATCTCATGATGTGGTTAAAGAAGATGAAAGTCCAAAGGCTTTTCCAAGTTGGACGGATGAAAGGCTTCAAGAATCCGGAATCGCCAGTTTTCCCGACATTAATTCTGAAATAAGGTACTCTTTATACCCTAATAAATCAAGAAAATTATTAGTTAATTATACAAATTGCAAGCCAAGTACGTCGATTAAGAGAATCTACTGTGATGAGAATTTACTTATTCCTTCAATTAATCAAATTTTAATTTTTAATTTCTTACACTATTCTTGGATATAGTAATGTTCACAAAATATAAAACAAATTTAAATTTAAATAATAGGTTTTTAAGCGTATATTATAAAATATTTACAAAACATACGGTCAAGAACTTCATTCGATTCTGCCCTTTTCATTATGACAATATTTCAATTTTTTTTAATTAAACGGCACTCGATATTGTTTAAATAATATTATTATAATAAAATTAATCAAATTTCGCCTAATTTTTAACATCTTAATTTGCTTAATAAGCATGCTATGCTAATACGAACTTTCAATAATTAAATGTAAGTAATTTTTTTTTTTTTTTTGAATTATTTAAATAAAAATAATTAGAAAATAGCCATTATAATATAGCTTTTATCTATCTATTGACGAAACATAATTATTTGCCTTCCGCAGTTTATTGGAAATGATTAAGAAGTAAATTCATAATAAAAAACGAATATAAACAAAGTTATTCGGTTGATCCAAGAAAAGCAAACTAAATCAACGTCACGTCACACTCAATTAAATAATTCGGTGGTTTCACTTACATACGTAAAGAGAAATAACTTTGTATACTGAATCAATTCATTTAAATATAGTATAGTAGAGTCGTATTAAAATATTATTTAAATATTTATTTATTTATTTATTTATTTATTTATTTATTTATTTATTTATTATGCTTTATTTTATTACAGCGAGAATTTATCCGAGGACGAGCTCAAGGTAAATTATTTTATCATTGGTACATTAAAAGCTTCTTAAAATTGAACTAACGTAATATATTTTTAATTTTTTCCCTGCAACTGTGTTATGGCAAAGGTAAACTTAGTTGTCTATTATATTTTTAATTCACTTTTAACGAAAATTTATAATTTTCATTGTATTGCAATTCACGATTCTAGGCTTACGCCTTTATATTTAATTAACATAAGGATTATAAAATAATTTAATACGAGAAATTAGATACTGATTAATTATTTGAAATTTAAGGTTAAAAAGTCAGTGTGGCATTTATATTTATATATAACTTTTTGTTGTTGTTGTTTTTGATTATTTCATATGAATAGTATTGCTAATGACATTTTTATTACTTTGCTCATTACTTATGAGAGTTTATTTTGCAATAAAGTATGCAATAAGCCAATCAATATCATAATCACATAATTAATTAATTCACCTACAATACGAAAGTAACGAGCTGTAGATATTTTTAAATAAAAAAATTCACACGACGATCGTTTTTATTTATTTCAGAAGAAATACACGGCATTTTCTATTGGCCTGGGTACCGACAGAATGACTCTGTCTAAAAGGATGATTTTATCCCGCCGACATCGTGATCAGGCTGAAAAGAACTTTACCAACGAAGTATCGAAAATGCAACAGGACATTAAGGCAAGTTAAAAATTCAATGCCAATGTACTTAAATACTTGAAACAATTAAACGCATTTATAATCCTTAATTATTAATAATCCAAGATGTTTGATGTTGTTTAAATTTAGAGGTGCTACCGTATTCAGTATTGGATTAAAATGATGATAATTTAAATGTAACCTTGTAAAAGCAAAAAGCAACCATGAGAAAAGTATTAACAATATTTTAAACAAACGTTTCAGCAAATTCATAACGGAAGGTTAAACGATTTAAGAAATCCATGCAAATAATTATTATAGAGAGAGAGAGAGAGAGTGTGTGTGTGTGTGTGTGTGTGTGTGTGTGTGAGAGAGAGAGAGAGAGAGTGAGTGAGTGAGTGAGTGAGTGAATGAGAGAGAAAAGCGGGAAGGGGCAGCATGCCGAAGAAAGTCGCTGTCGTTGTTGACTAATAAAGAAAAGCCTCGCCCCATTCAAAACACTTGGCTAATAAGAAATGTCGGTAGTTGCATGTTAAAGAGTCGCGGCGACGATGCTGCGCACAAAACGCCGTGTCCTTGTCATTGTCGCCGGCACTTTGCGCCTTTGAAGGAAAGTGCCGGTCAAACCTTTAATATCGAACGAAATAGGAGTTGGCGCCGCTGTGCGTCGACAGCGAGTCGGTGGAGCGGGTCGAGCGAGTGAAGCAGCAGCTGGAAATGGTGGCGCGTTGCGCCCATAGGATCTCGTGCAGCGCCGAGACCCTCGGCGCGGTTCATCAGGAACGACGGGTGTCGAGGGCGGTGCTACTGGCGGACAAGTACATGCAGACGCTGCGGACCAAGTGCGAGAAGCTCGCCGTTGAACTCGCCGAAACGAAGTACGAGGGGAATGGGAGGAGGGATTGAGAGAGAGAGAGAGAGAGAGAAAGGCCCAGATATGCCAATGACGCTCTCTACTTCTCGGCGCTTGATTATTCGACTCCTTTCCCAATTTCGCTCCTCCGTCCAATCTTTATGCGGTATTCAAATGTCTTGTATTAAAAGTTCGCAAAGAAAACTGTTCCATGCTTTTCTATTGAAATTCTTAAGTAAATGTCGCTTTTCATCATTAGGAATTCTTTCTTTACTTTACGAATGCTTACTTCGAGATGTATGTAATTTTTTTTCTTCTTTTAATTTTTTTTTACTTTTTTCGACATACATTCGTAGAATGTATCCGAGTCTCGATTACAGCCTTCCGTATCCTCGTTATCATAAATAACTATTTACAAACTAAATGAATTATTGCATCCATGAGCCTTCCTCCTATAAAAATACATTTATTAATAACGTCCGTCATTAATGATGATAAGGAATTTTACTTATATAAATATAAAAATAAATAGAAATTAATTAAACGTAATATTGCGAAATGAATAATTTCTTCGTCTTTTTTCTATTAAAAAGCAATTGGCACATGAGAAGGTCATTTACGGTATTATTGAGAAAACTAAAGATTGGTTGAAAAGTTTGAAAAAAAACAAGAATTATAATTTATTTTTTCTCTTAATCGTCACTCGTGCCAACTAGAAGCTTAAAAATTTCTGCATTATTTATTAAATGTTCATATAAATGCAGTCGTGTTTAATTATCCATTGAAATGAGCAATGTTCATCATGAACGGACACGTTAATCCTTATCCGTAACGATAATCTTGCCCGAGTAAGACTTTATTAATACGCTAATCGACGACTGGATAACAATATTGAAATTGATTTCAATTCCAGGCGAATCCTTGCGGAGAACAACATCGTACTCGAGGAGAACTTGAGCGAAATGGGTGACGACTTTCCACGCGTTCGGTACCGTGGCGTACCCAACAATAATCGTACGATGGTTCGAAAATGCAAAAAGAAACTTGTTCACAGCTTCAGCTTTCTCTCATTACTCGGATCATTTTTATAATCCTTTTCTTCTTAAAAATGTCCCTATACAGCGAGCTCGCACATTATGAAGTAGTTTTTTTCATTCTAAGAGGTTTGCAATATCATAGAATCATCTTGAAAATTTATGGGGCCCATTAATTATCCAACTCGTGCATTAATCAACTGCGTAGGAGCATTTCGATATTCTGCGCGTGATGAATGAAAATTGAATACAATTGAATACAATTGTTATTCACTCGTTTTCTAAAAGCACTTTCAAATACATATTCGAATTGAAATGATAATAAATGTCGATCGACAGAATGTCTCGCGATAGCCATGTTTTTACGCATTGAAGAAAAAAAAAACATAAAATAAAATACCGATTCGTCTTAATTACGTTCGTTTTCTATTAAAGAGCAGAAGAAGAAAAAAAAAAAATTATGGAAATTACAAACATCTCCGTTTTCCAGAAGAATTTCCAGCATAAAGAATAATTTTCTTTCATATGCTTCATGATAGACCAGTTTAGCTACATTATAGCCATTGTAAGCCATTGTAATCCGAATGAAGAAAGATTAAATGAATTATCGTGTAGATTTCCCATACACAACGCTTAAACATTGAAAGCGCCATGCATCGAAACATCAATTATTCGATTAGTTTTTGTCTCATTATGCTACTCACCAAGTCTGCCTTCGAGCCTTCGATTCTACCGAACCTTCGATCCGTATTTTCACGTAAAACTAATAACAATTAAGCCTCTCATCATATAATAACGGCAAGTACCAACCTATCAGCGGAATGAAATAATAATAATCGAATTCTGTTTCCACGCGAAATCATTTATCGCTATAAAAAAAAAAAAAAAAAAAAATCGGCATGCTACTAACCATTTATATCACAAAATTAATTGTAATGGCTGAAAAAGTGGTATCGTCGTAAAATCGAATAAATGCACGGTTCAAGGTTTCATACGCAAACGCAAATATCTAGTCACGCTTAGCACCGCCTCCTATATCTTATTATATCACCACTTAACACTTAAACTTATATGAATTATTTTTGCACTTGCATTATTAACAAATAAGCGTTACGTTTGAAATTTGTTTTTTAGATGGCTAGAAGAAGAGCTAGTATTGCTGCGATATCGCGACCATTGATGGGCAGCAACCAAGACATTTCAAAGGCAACAAGTCTCTACCACTTTACCGCCGTTATTTGTTGTTATTTTTTTCCCCTTTCTTTTCATGTCTTTTATTATCTTAAGCTTATCTTGTGTGCTATTATTTGAGCGCTTATTTACCACGCGCGTGTCCTGTGAAAATTAATTGTCTTTTATACGGATTTGCTTTTCGCAGGCTAAGTCACTAATAATTCTAATCTTAGGCTCGATGCCGCTCGATGTGCTTTGCTTTAACGGATTTACGCAGCTACGGACCGTCCGCATGCATCCTAAATTAGATTAAAGAGCAAGATTTTATTTTAACGTGATTTATCGGATACATGCGCATGTATAATGACAATGCTGTGTGTCTATTAAATATTTTACCGTTTTGCCAGCCGATCCTCTCGAGCGATAAAATGAATAAACGATCGCATGATTGTTGTAGTAAAATTTTTAACAATTTTTAGATGAATTTTGACGTAATAGTGGGCAGAATGATGCTTGTTAGAGCTTTGAAAGCTGACAACATTAATTTCCTTTTCTCATCCACCCTTTTTATTTATAGGAACTTCCAAGACAGAGAAACTCTGTGTCTGGGAGAGTTCCAGGATTACGGCGACCTTCGTTATGCTTCGAGACGCCAAAATGGGAGATCGAAAAATTAGATCGAACAGAGTAAGATTTTTTTTTATAATTTACGCAATGTAATTGTGATTCTTTGAACTTAACATTAAAAGATCCGACTCTACAACATGTGAAATGAGTTTTTTTTTTTTTTTTTTTTTTAAACAAAAAAGTAACGATTTATGCCAATTGTCGAATATTAAAAAAAAAAAAAAAAAAAAAAAAAAATCCTTAAGAACACGTTTATGTTTATATTATTAATTACGGTATTTTTGTATATTTTTGTTTTGTTTTTGTTTTATTTACAGTAGTTCGAGTAGTATATCGGAGATGCGAGAAATTTTTGAGCAGACGGAATCGAGGCGGCATTCGCAAGAAGAAAATAATAATTCAATCCGGACGTCAATAAAGAATCTTTCGAATACTAATGAATATATCGAAGGGGAAGACCATTGGTCGAATTCACGAGAAGATATTGTTCCTGAATTATCGAATGATAATGAAATCATTTCTGTCGAAATAGGACAAAAGTAAGTAATACAGATATATATGGAATTTACGGCAATGGCCGTAAAATTTGCTTAAGAAAAATAAATTAAATAAATAAATAAATTAATATTATACCTTACAGTTATGGACATCCTTTCGTCTGTTGGTTATTGAACAGATACATGACTTGGAAACCGATGCTATGGTGTATCTTAATAGCCTTTTTATTAGGATTCTTTATAAATCGCGTGGTGTCCTCGAGTAGGCGTGATGGTCCACCACTGTCTTGGTGGTCCATTGAGGAGATACTCAATCAGTATATTCAAATCAACAATGGAAAGCATCAGATACCAAGACCCATATAAATTTTGCAATTTTCTTTTCTATAATAATATTCGTTTTAATTTTATAATGACACTATTTGTTAAAATTATGTTTTAAGTATGGCAATTTTTGATAGAAATTAACTTTTTTTAATAGTAATTATATTTTCATTGTACCTGTATTTATCTTTTTTTTTTCTTTTTTTTTTTTTTTTTTGGGGCTATTAAATATCATGTATAATTAAGATAATTCAAAGAGATAAATGAGATTTCAAAGAGTGATAAGTAAGAAAATAAAATTAAAAAAAAAAAAGTGTCGAAAGTTTATGTGTAACTTTTGCATTAAACATATTCTTCCGGACATAAACTGTTTCAAATATTGTGCTATTTTCCATCCACATAGAAAAAGAAATGACGAAAGGTCGTTGCATTGTATACTCAATAACAATGCAAATAAGCAATTTCTGTAAATACATTTATACATAGCCAAACAAACGTAAATAAAATCATTTCATTGTTATTGTATTTCTGTTTGCGTATATTTAAAAAAAGAAGAAAAAAATAATAAATAAAAATAAGGTGTTAAATGAATTGGATTGGATAGCTCTTATTCTAATCTCGTAATTTATTTCAGATATTTTAACAAATAAATAGAATTGTTTCAAGTTTTAAATTCTTCATTCAATCCCTAGTTTACGTGATTATGATGCTTTAACAATACACACGTGCGAATGAGATATTTTTATTTCCATTAACTCTACAATATAATTGAGAACGAATCAACACAAAATAATATGTTTTCTATAAAATGCGTATAAAATTAAACGTGATAAGAATATAATTTACAAACAATCGAGGAACAAAAATATATATATATATATATATATATATATATATATATATATATATATATATATTAATGCATAGTAGTGAAATATAATTACGGGCACGCAATAATAATTGCTATTATTAATAAAAAAATTTTGAGTACGGAAAATAGTTTGCGATGATTTTTTATATGCAATAGTTAAATCTCTATTGGAGCATGTGGAGTCTTATGGAATCGGCATACTCAACGCTCTAATTATTTTTGAAACTCTTATCGATATTTTCTAAACAATTATTATTAAAAACAAAGTGAATATCTTTTTACTTATACTAATTATCTAACTTGCACATTTATATTTATAATATTATCGCCAGTAAACATCCCCATTAGTATTGGGATTTATATTTATATATATATATATATATTTTTTTTTTTTTTAATTTATACTCATAAATTTCTTTTTCTTGCTCATTTATTATAGAATAGTTACAAAAATTCTTTGCTAAGTGAGAGCAATTTACGTGTATCATACGTTTACCGAGCAGCAATACAACTAATACTTTTAAAATTCCTATTAAGATATAAACAAACGTTGTTTGATATGGTTGTATTAAAAAAATAATAATAATAATAACAAAGTACGTATAAAATCCTATTAATACGTATTATCGTATACGATACTGCAATACCTAGACTGGAAAACGATTTTTCTCATAGTATAAATTTGTTGACCCACACATAAAATTCTTAATCACATATATATATATATATATATATATATATATATAAATTGTTGTTCAAGTATTCCTTTATATCTAAAGATTTCACATAAAATGTTAAATAATTTTAAAAACAGTAAACAAGCATTTATTTAAAACAAACTTTATCAACGTCCTTGGGCTATATCATATCGGGGAATACTCGTGTGAATTCATTTTTAACAGCCGATCAATTATGACTTTTAAAAAAACAAATGAAAGACGTCCAGAGTTCCAAAGTTTCAAAAGTTTCGATTAAAAGTTTTTGATTAAAACTTTATAGTTTATACGAACAGTATAAAATAAGCATAACCACTCGATTAAGGAGTAATTGCAACAAATATCAGTTAATACCAATAACGAACTTGGGAGTATGGACTCGACCGACGGTTTATTTGTTTTACCGAATGTGTCACACCTTGAGATAATTAACCATTGCGATCAAAGTTCCGAGTGCGCAAACTCAAGTGACTTTCGATCGGCGTTCGTAGCGCAGATGGCGCTGACGTTTCTTCTTCCGTGATCGTAATCATAGGAAAGAGCTAAGTGAGTATTTGAGATTTTATTTTCGCATTTATTAATAAAATAAAGTCTTCTTTGTGACTGGTTGGTATGACCGTAACTTCCATTAATAAATTCGAGCGTCTATTAATGATTTCTTCTATTATTACCGACCGAAAATATAATTCCAATTGTTTACCACGTGCACGTGATTGTTAGGTTAATTCGTTCCATTATTCAACAACAATGGAAGCCGCGAGACCTCGGGATAAAAGCTTATTATAAACAACAATTACCCAGGATTGTCGATATTTTCAGCATGGCGGACGCTGCTCCAGCCGCTCGTGGAGGATTCCGAGGAGGTTTTGGTTCTCGAGGCATTGGTGACCGTGGGGGACCACGCGGCCGCGGTGGACGTGGACGTGGTCGCGGTCGAGGTCGCGGCCGTGGCAAAGAAGATACTAAGGAGTGGATCCCTGTAACTAAGCTGGGTCGCCTGGTTAAAGATGGAAAGATCGTATCGCTCGAGGAAATTTATCTTTTCTCTTTGCCGATCAAAGAATTTGAAATCATTGATTTCTTTATTGGTACATCATTGAAGGATGAGGTTCTTAAAATCATGCCAGTTCAGAAACAGACTAGAGCTGGTCAACGTACCCGTTTCAAGGTAATTCACAGCCCCCCTAAACTTGGCCTACTTTGTTACCGGTATTAAAGGAGTGGACGTATGGTGTGCGACGGAGGCACATTGTTCATTATTAAAATTAATTTCCTTCCATTATAACAATATTTGTTTATTAATAGATAATATTTATTGCAGGCCTTTGTTGCTATTGGGGACAGCAATGGACATATAGGTTTAGGAGTAAAGTGCTCTAAAGAGGTAGCGACAGCCATTCGCGGTGCTATTATTTTGGCAAAATTGTCCGTTGTTCCAGTGCGCAGAGGTTATTGGGGTAACAAGATCGGTAAGCCGCACACGGTACCGTGTAAAGTGACTGGCAAGTGCGGTTCTGTGCAAGTACGTCTTATTCCTGCACCGAGAGGTACTGGAATTGTGTCAGCTCCGGTACCCAAGAAGCTACTTCAGATGGCTGGTATCGAAGACTGCTATACCTCAGCCAGAGGATCCACCTGCACATTGGGCAACTTTGCAAAGGCAACGTACGCCGCTATCGCCAAGACGTACGCTTATTTGACACCCGATCTCTGGAAAGAGATGCAACTAACTAAGACACCTTACCAGCAGTACGCGGAACACTTGTCTAAGAATCATCGCGCCATAACTGGTTCGAGGCCCACGGATGTTAACTAAACATTAATGATTTTGATTTGATATAATAAAGATCCTCCATGAAAACTACGTATTCTCTTATTGTACATTAATATCCCAACTTTGTATTAATTGTTTCATTTTTCTAATCTTTTGTTTATTTAGATTTTTCAAAAACTTTCGCTTGGAATTTAAACGTAATAATTGATAATAAATGATAATGATCTTGTTTAAATTATGTTCATTCGCAACTGCTTGAAATTAATATTAAATTTTAAGGTAAATAGGGCTTATAAGGCAATAAGGTTAATAATCCTTTTTACAGTCCTATAAACAAATTTTTATTGATAAATATACATAAAAATAATTATAAAAACTAAACTCCAGCGCTTCCTTTCCATTGAATGTTGATCATTTGTCAATTTTGCACTAAAATTACGTCGTTCGCTCGTAATCGTGAATAGCCTCGTTAAATGTTTGTATCGTATGATCGCAAACACCGGACAAATCTTCGAGACCTCGTCGTAAAATGTCTACCGCTCT